TCATCCTGAGCAGGACACTGAGATTTCTGTTCTGATAACAGTGTGTTTGAGTGATGCACTGAGATCCAGGCACTGGGATTTTGTCTTCCAGCACTGTGAGAAATGGCTACTGCCCAGTACCCAAAGGCTGAGGGAACAGAGCAGGTAGTTTCTCATAATCCTTTTTTCCTCTGAGAGTCTTTCCTTCCCTTTTAGAAGAGGAAACTTGGGTGCAATAAGGAATTAAAAATACCACAGTGAGAAAATGGCTCCTCTGCTGTTGTGCTTTACCTGAGTAAGCAGATGCCTTAGAGCTTCCAAAAAATGCTGCTAAAAGGGAAAGCGTTAGGTTTTCACCCAGTGGGATGATATCTTGCTTGAAACTAAAGTTTCCCTTCAGAAACCACTTGGTTTTGATGCTCTCAGAAGCTCAATGCTCCATCACTGGCCTCTGACCAGAGGTTTTCTGCACTTGTGGTGCTGATGGTGGAAGAGGCAGTTGTGACAGCTTCTCCACCAGCCTTTCCTTGAGCTGGTTTGTACAAGCTGAATTGCAAAGCGCTTGTAGCACTGACAGAGCTCAGAGCTGCCTGGTCTGGGTGTCAGCTGGGGCTGAGCTGGCTCCTGGTTCAGCTGATCCTGCCCCACGTGGGTAGTTGTGCTGGGAGCAGGAGCAGAACGAGCCGTGGGGTGAGGGAGTGGAGTTTCTTCTGGGATGTGGTGCAGCACTCAATAACTTCACCAAACATGTCACAGTTTGATATCAAGAGTTGAATCAGGTGAGTCCAGATCTGTTCTGAAAGTTTAGCAAATGGTCACCTTAATAAATGTTGTGAAGAGTGAATGACTCTTCTGTCTGGTGCTGTCATGCTGGAGTGCAAAGCCAAGGCCACACATCCACTCCTGGGTGGGTGAAATGAAGCCACTGCCACATCCAGATGGGAACATTGGCTTTGTTTGTGTCCTCGTGTGCTCCAGCTCCCTGCACTCAGTGTGGGTGCAGCAGATACCACAGTGACCAGCCAGCTCAGGGTGTTTAACTCCAGTCCAGTATGCAGGTGGGTGTTGGGGGTCATCTCCACAGGGTGGTTCACTGTGAAACCCCAGCTCTGATCTGACACCTCTGGAAGATGGCTGAAGTGTCAGCAGCACCCGTGGCCTTAGCAACAGCAGCTCACTCTGGGTGGCTGTTTGCTTTCTCCTGGAATGCAGAGCAGCCGTTGTGGGCTTGGCTTGAGTTGCCAGGAGAACTCACTGGAGGTGGTGAGGAGGCTGCAGCTGAGCTGGGGTCACTTTGGCCACACTGCAGGGTTGCAGGTGAGTACTCACTGCTCACTGCAGAACTGTGAACACACAAGAGTTGGTTGAGAATCCCTCAGCGTTTTCTGGTGCCCTGGACAAGGCTGTTTGTGGTGTTTGTGGAAAGCCAGAAGGATACCAGAGAGTGTGGGGGTTAAATCTGTGTGTGTAGAAGGTCACAGCAAGGAATGGGAAGGGTGATTCTTCAGCTCTCCCACCTGTACTGACTTCAGCTGGGTCTTACCCAGAATAAATTTATTGGATTTAAATTTATTGGGTTTTTTAATCATGTCCAAAAAAAAAAAAAAATGTGCTTTTCACTGGCTGTGCTTTGGGATTTTAACTCTTAGGGTGACCAAAAAAATGTTAAGTCTGCCTACACAGCTGTTAGAAATTCTGCCATCCTCTGCAGCAGCAGCTCATCTGGAAAGGTTTGTCCTTTGATTTGCTGTAAAGTTTATTTCAGTCCTGTAGATTTTCATAGAGGCTTCAAGGAACATCAGCAGGAGCTTCTTGGGGGCATTACACACCAAATGCAATCTATCAATTTTTATTGTTCATGTCTTTTTTTTCAGCCTTAAGCACCTTTTAAAGGTTTAAACACCCTTTAAATGTTATTAATAATAAGGTAGTAACACAGCTTTGGAGAACAGGAAAAGCTCTTTTAGTTGAACTTCCCTAAGTGCAATAAAAAAACCAATCAAACATCAGGAGAAACATGAGGAAAGGTGATTTTTAAATTTCCTGGCAGCGTGGAAGGGTGAGCTTTAAAGTTTTTTTTTCACTATGGATGAAAGATATGAAACTTGATTTGAACTTCTCTCCCCTGTTGTGTTCACAGGCAGCCTGCTTCTGCGAAGTGGTACGACCGGAGGGACTATGTCTTTATTGAATTTTGCGTTGAAGACAGTAAAGATGTTAATGTAAATTTTGAAAAATCCAAACTTACATTCAGGTGAGTACTTTGGACCTTCCCAAAGCTCAAAAGACACAGGGTGGGGGGAGTAGTTTGGTTGAGCAAGAAGGAGGAAACATCAGGCTCTTGGTGTAAAAAAGTGACTGTGAAGCTTGGGTGACTGAAGCTTGTGCTGAGACTGATGAGATGGTGTTTTTCTTGAAAGCAGCAATTTGTGTTAATGGAATGTTTGTTCTGTTTCCTGATAAACACAAATATATATATATATATATTTTTCTCTCTCTCTCTCTTAACAGTTGTCTGGGAGGAAGTGATAACTTTAAACACTTAAATGAAATTGACCTTTTTAATAATATTGATCCAAATGTAAGTATCCATCCTCTTGACTCTCCTTTTGCTGTGTTCTTTGTGCTGTATCCTGAAAAATAGCCAGTATTGTGGGCAAGTTGTTCCTTAGACCCAAGTGTAAGTGTGATTTTTATGGTTTGTGAAAGCCTTTCTGGATGGTATTTTTCAGGACAAAGAATAAGCTGATAACTTGAAACAAATGAGTCTTAATATAAGCAGTTTCCTGGTGAAGTGTTGATGATATTAAAACAGATATTTGCTCTTTTTCTTCTTCAGGAATCAAAACATAAAAGAACAGACAGATCTATCTTGTGTTGTTTACGAAAAGGAGAATCTGGTCAGGCATGGCCAAGGCTAACAAAAGAGAGGGCAAAGGTGGGTTTGGGCTCCTTAGTTCCTGTTGCCTCCCCTGGTTTTTAATGTTGTTTAATATTTGGGTCATATTTAAATCACGCAGCAGTTAATGGGTCACTCTGATCAGAGTGACAGTTTTTATTCACCTTGCTTTTTAGAACATCAGCAGCTGGTTACTTGCTTGTCCTTAAATAACATCTTGTGTTGATGTGCAGCTCAACTGGCTCAGTGTGGACTTCAACAACTGGAAAGACTGGGAAGATGATTCAGATGAAGACATGTCCAATTTTGATCGCTTTTCTGAGGTAGGGGGAGATGAGTAGAATCACAGAATCATAGAATGGTTTTGGTTGGGAGGGACCTTAAAGCTCATCTAGTCCCAACCCCCCTGCCAGCAGCAGGGACACCTTCCACTAGACCAGGTTGCTCAAAGCCTCATCCAACCTGGCCTTCAACACTTCCAGGGAGGAGCAGCCACAACTTCCTTGGGCAACCTGTTCCAGTGTCTGACCACCCTCACAGTGAAGAACTTCTTCCTAATATCTCATCTAAACCTCCCCTCTTTCAGTTTAAACCCATTTCCCCTTGTTTTGTCACTCCCTGCCCTTGGCCAAAGTCCCTCCCCACCCTTCCTGGAGCCCCTTCAGGTACTGGGAGGCCACTAGAAGGTCTCCCGGGAGCCTTCTCTTCTCCAGGCTGAACAGCCCCAACTCTCTCAGCCTGTCCTCACAGCAGAGCTGCTCCAGCCCTCGCATCATCCTGGTGGCCTCCTCTGGACTTGTTCTAACTGGTCCCTGTCTTCCTTATGTTGGGGGCTCCAGAACTGGACACAGTACTCCAGAATCATAGAAAGGTTTGGGTTGGAAGGGACCCTTAAAGGTCACCTAGTCCAACCCCCTGCAGTGAGCAGGGATGTGAGTACCTGGAGGTTTGGGTTTCCTTCTGAGCTGTGTGTTGCCAAAGTAGGGACTGAGAACTGTAGGAGGAGTTGTCTTCCTCAGCCTTCCTCCTCCTGGTGCTCTCCTGGCCGCTGGTCTCGGTGCAGGCTCTGACCAGGCTGCCAGCTTTAATCCGTGCTGGCACAGTTTGTGTGCTGAGGTGACCAGTCTGTGTTTGTTGTCAGATAGGAAATGAAGGTATGACCCATGGCAGATGCCAGTGTTAACTCCCTGCACTGGTTAGTTTCTGAGACAATTAAATGTTTTGGGGTTTTTTTGCATGCTCACCTTGTAATTTCTCCCTAGGTGCAGCTGATTTGTCAAAAAAGCTGTTGATTTATCACAGTTTTAGGTTATTTTTAGATGTTTTTACAGTGCTGCCCTAGTTCATGTAGAGAGTGCATTTGGCTTCACCCTGTAACATCCTTATTATCTCCCTGGAACAGATGATGAACAACATGGGTGGAGATGATGACGTAGACTTGCCAGAAGTAGATGGGGCAGATGATGTAAGTACTTTGTTTGCAGTGAATTCATGCAGGGGTTGGCACAGTGCCCTGCACATCCTCATTCTTGCTGAAAGTCAGACTTGCATTCCCTCTCCAGTGCTGCTAAAAGGTTAAACTGCCCCAAACCTTGTCTGGATAAATGATGTCACCTGGCAAAAGTCACTTCCTCCCCTCCAGCAGCAGTGCTGAGGGCAGTGGTGTCCGTGCCTGCAGTGCCAGACAAGCTCAGTGTCCTCTGCCTCTGCAGTGACACTGGTTTTGGGGGGTCTGAAGGCTTTGGCCAGTCCTGTAGCACCTGAAGTTTCTCAGAATACATGCTCTGAGGGAGGGTGTGCTTGCCTGGAAGTCACAGCCTGTTTGCTGGGTTATTGGTGATAGAGGGAAAACTGCCTTCGAGCTCAGTCTGCTCCAGTTAATGTTTCTTCTCCTTTCCAGGACTCACCAGACAGTGATGATGAAAGTAAGTTGGCATCCCCCTCGGTTTCCACGCACCCTGTGGCAGCCTGAGCGCCGACCGCCCCTGCCGGTGCCAGAGCCTTGAGCAGAGCCAGCAGATGCTCTGTCCTCTCAGTCTCACTAAATCCTGGCTGTGAGATAATGCCAGTGCCTTCCCTGAGACGACATAATCTGAGTGAAACCCATTCCACACAAGCATGAAATACCAGTTTGACCTTCCCCAGCCAGCTCTAGTCCCGGGGAGGCTTTGGCTTTACGAGCAGCAGGGACATGCACGGGGGTATCGGTGTCACTGGTGCTGGCCCTGCCCCAGTGACTTCTGTGCTGGGTGATCCTCGGTGTGAGAAACCAGCTCTGGGCTCAGGAGGGGGGTTGGAGACCCTTAAACTGCCCCCCGTCCCCTTCTTGGGCAAGGGCTGGGTCTTCTTGTTTGTGTCCCTTGTGATATCATGGGGCTCCTGGTTGGAGGTTTTTTTGTGTGGAGGGGGGTTTGGTTTTGTTTTGTGGGTTTTGTTTGTTTGTTTTTAATAAAATAATAATAAAAAAGTAATTAATAAAACCAGTAATAATAAAAAACAGTAATAATAAAAAAAACCCCAGTAATAATAAAAAAAA